ATTTCAATATGGCGTAAGCCCCGATCATGACGTAATACAAAATAAGTATGGCTTGCCAGCCCAACAATACAATCAGACGATTACATGACACCATTGCGTTACTCAAGGGCGTTACAATACCCGGGAATTTATCGGTTCGTCCAGTACTTGTTTGTGATAGCGCCCTCTGTAGGTCACTGTGCTTATAGCCTACAGTAATACAATACCCGGGAATTTATCGGTTCGTCCAGTACTTGTTTGTGATAGCGCCCTCTGTAGGTCACTGTGCTTATAGCCTACAGTAATCAAGGGCGTTACAATACCCGGGAATTTATCGGTTCGTCCAGTACTTGTTTGTGATAGCGCCCTCTGTAGGTCACTGTGCTTATAGCCTACAGTAATACGGGGTAGGATATCGGGAATTCGGTCAGTTTCTATCCGTCGATTTCGCTATGAATTGAAGCAAGTGTGACCACTTTATCCACTTAAACAATTTGATAATTGATTAAATCTTTAAACAAAATCGATAAACACGTTATACACTTCCTATCTCCTTAGAAATTAGCATGTATTTATGGATTGTGTTTTCGAACAAGGCTCGACCCACCCCAATAGGGAAATCCTTATGCTAATTAGTATGACGTCATATTTTCCTGGGGAATCCTAGATTTCAAGGCCTCAGTCTGTTATTGTGTCAAATGTAAACGCTCTTGGGACGCTCTTTTGCAGACAGAAAATTGACAGATTAGCTTTTAACTTTCAGCTTTGATGTTTAAATATTCTGTATTTCTACCGGACTTCTTGCTGAATATCATATAATGTTATAACTTGATTTGGATCATTGCCTGATTGATCATTCTGAAATTTTGATTGTGATTCATGATTGATTGGCAAGAAAAATAATTCCTATTGTTTTCCAGCGAAGTCAAAATGTTACAGCATGAGTTATAATGTCGAGTTTGCATCATGTTAAATTCTGCTAGTGATTAGAAGTCAATGCACAAGCATACACATAAGAGACAAACACACCCAGGCTCCAGGCCGTGGATGGAAATATAAAACTATTTAAGGCACAAACTGGTATTAATATACCGATATGTAGTGTCTGCCATGTATTGAAGGTAAACCAATCTGTATTATTAATGTTTCTTCTATCAATACATGGGTTGTGCAATAGAAAAGCAATGGCACAATCAAAAATGTGCATATCAATCGTGAATATCTCTCGGTTCAAAGCTTATTTCCAACAGAATCGTGTCAAAATATGTGTCTGAGTAACAGTTATACATTATAAGATCGCAAACTCTTACCAATTATCAGCCGAATGGCTCATTTTCAACGAAATGTCCTTAAGACAACAGCCCTGGGTCGCGCCTGAGACCAAAAACTACTTCAAATAGCCCTCCCCTAATTATATTGGATAATCACATTTATGCGTGCGCGCGCAGCTCATCCAATGAACGAAGCGCCACTTCCCGCTGAAATCACCGGGTATTGATCTTTCCCTTGCAGTAATACGGGGTAGGATATCGGGAATTCGGTCAGTTTCTATCCGTCGATTTCGCTATGAATTGAAGCAAGTGTGACCACTTTATCCACTTAAACAATTTGATAATTGATTAAATCTTTAAACAAAATCGATAAACACGTTATACACTTCCTATCTCCTTAGAAATTAGCATGTATTTATGGATTGTGTTTTCGAACAAGGCTCGACCCACCCCAATAGGGAAATCCTTATGCTAATTAGTATGACGTCATATTTTCCTGGGGAATCCTAGATTTCAAAGCCTCAGTCTGTTATTGTGTCAAATGTAAACGCTCTTGGGACGCTCTTTTGCAGACAGAAAATTGACAGATTAGCTTTTAACTTTCAGCTTTGATGTTAAAATATTCTGTATTTCTACCGGACTTCTTGCTGAATATCATATAATGTTATAACTTGATTTGGACCATTGCTTGATTGATCATTCTGAAATTTTGATTGTGATTCATGATTGATTGGCAAGAAAAAAGAATTCCTATTGTTTTCCAGCGAAGTCAAAATGTTACAGCATGAGTTATAATGTCGAGTTTGCATCATGTTAAATTCTGCTAGTGATTAGAAGTCCATGCACAAGCATACACATAAGAGACAAACACACCCAGGCTCCAGGCCGTGGATGGAAATATAAAACTATTTAAGGCACAAACTGGTATTAATAGACCGATATGTAGTGTCTGCCATGTATTGAAGGTAAACCAATCTGTATTATTAATGTTTCTTCTATCAATACATGGATTGTGCAATAGAAAAGCAATGGCACAATCAAAAATGTGCATATCAATCGTGAATATCTCTCGGTTCAAAGCTTATTTCCAACAGAATCGTGTCAAAATATGTGTCTGAGTAACAGTTATACATTATAAGATCGCAAACTCTTACCAATTATCAGCCGAATGGCTCATTTTCAACGAAATGTCCTTAAGACAACAGCCCTGGGTCGCGCCTGAGACCAAAAACTACTTCAAATAGCCCTCCCCTAATTATATTGGATAATCACATTTATGCGTGCGCGCGCAGCTCATCCAATGAACGAAACGCCACTTCCCGCTGAAATCACCGGGTATTGATCTTTCCCTTGCGTTACTCGAGTCTCTAGCCAATAATACAGTGGCCTTAGAAGAAGGTAACAATTGCGAAGGGTATTAGGAAATTGGCCCTATTTGGCTCGTGCTCATTAATATGCTCTGGTTTAATATGTTCGCTACAAAATAAAGACACTAAATAATTACATTTTATTTATTATCAGATGAAGTTTCAAAGGTCTGATAGATCGTATACGTAAATCATGTTCTCTCTATAAATTAATGCATGATACAGCGAAAACAGTAAAGAGGAGGGGGTGTGCACATTTCTATTTTCGGTCATTTTATATCGTAATGAAAAAATCAGCAGTGATGAGAAAGTTGATGTGTTACAAAATTTCGTTCTTCCGGTAAATATGACTTATGGGGATAAATGAACTGATTTTGAATCTGAACTTAACGTTTTTTACAAAATATCATATCGTTTATAGTAGTATATTGCATAACTCAGCAGGGGACAGTCATACGAGCCAGACATATATCGTTTTAAAGAACTTTAAACAAAACATCTCAGTTTTAGCAATGAGTTATCCACCAATTGCCTGAAAATTCTATGGATTCATGATAACACAGATTACAGTTTTGTCACTTACTCCAGGAAAGAATTGATAGAAAGAATCGATCCATACCGTCGTAATAGTTTGTTACACGACTGACAAATATTATCTGTGGTCTTTTGATTCCGCGCATGGATGTTTCTCTTTTTGGATTCAGGCACGTCTGTAGTTAGCTTACCTGTCTGTGTATACTAACAGTTACTACTATATAATTCCTTCTTGAATTAAAATAATGTTATGGGGAAAATGGAATACTTTTGGAATAAGTGAGTATATTGTCTATCACCTTTCATATATTGGATAGAGAAGGAGCTTGAAAATTAGTTTGGTAATATACAACCATATGTTACCAACCCCCCCCCCCCCCTCTACTTGACTAAACACATTTCTTCCCCAACTTATATTGTAGTGGGGGGGGTCACAAGGACTCACAAGCTAAACTACGAATACGTGAGAGCTGGCCATTGTCTAATGTTGATGGATGACGGGGGGGGGGGATATTAAAGTACGCCTATGTAGCATAAATAGGTAGCTACGGAAAATGCTTGGTTATCATTTGGTTATATTAGTTGAAATATCTTATGTCATGATCAACGACTGAAGAAACAAATATCAGATGTTGACGTGTTCAAACATGAAAATTAATGTGATATTCTCACAAAATAAATCGCAAGATGAATTGACAGACTGGTTGCCATTTTGATTTTTTGTTCAGAATTTTTTTGGGGAAATTAATGATTATTGATGTGTATATTACTTTTGAATGCAAAACCTTGCGAAAATTCAAAATGGCCGTCAAAAACATTCCTCAATGACAGGCATATGGGCATCTTATATTTACAAAGAATGAAAATAAAATATAAAATGACTTTATAAACAGGTATATTGACTCTATCGGTTGTCTTATAGCGCAGTACAATATGATTAAATGCACTTTGGGAGTTTTTAATACACAGCCTTGAAAACGTCTCACACTGGACACGTGTCACACTGGACTGATACCTTGCGTATTCTGAAATTGCTAATAATCCGCTTATTTTAGAATGTGTTTATTGGACTGTGATAAAACATTGTGCGCAAAGGCATAATTTCTTACTGAATAAAAGGGTACTGCTATGATGAAGGAGCATATGATATGTAATTGAAATGGTCACCTTAAACATATGAAACTTTTTTAAAATTTCTATGCTCATTATTTTGATAAAAGATGGAAATATATCTCAATATTGATGATTTCAAGTTCTCTAACTTTTTAGCTGCTCTAGATCTACAATATCTGTAAAATATTTTCATAAAGTACCTGCGCCTTTGGTTGGAGGGTAGAATAATATAAAAGGTACAGTTTGGAGATATTTATTTAAAGTAGTAGGTACAATAACATAGTAAACCAACTGTTGATTGAATTTGCTTCGCATAATTTCATACCTGAGATAGTGGTATTAACTAAATGTGATAAACGAAGTGCTGAAGTATTCAAGTGAACTGGGTGTGGCACTTTAAGTCAAACATTTGTTCTTATGTAATTTTTGATTGACATTTTAAGTCTCACTATGCTAGTTACATTCTACATTCCTGAAGTCTTCTTCAAACGGCCGAATTTCATGAAAAACTCATTTGAGCGAAACTTTTTTCAATTCTCCTTTAAGCAATTTGGCTGTGAAAAATGTCAAAATTTTCCACGTTCCCCTTTCTAATGATAACTTCCAACCCTTGGATACACATCTTCATGCTATTTAGATTTTAGAGATGGAAAATGGACCAATAGATTCGAATTGTGGGAGCTAAGTTTGCTGAAATGTTCATTTTTGTAATAATAATATAAATTCTACTTTTTAGGCTGGGGCGAAAGGTAAAAGGGGTATCGGGCCCAAGGAGTCGCAGGAAAATAAACGAAGCTTCACTGAGGAACAACGTCGTGCTGGTGAGGGTGTAATTGGATTACAAATGGGGACTAATAAAGGCCCCAGCCAAGCAGGGCTGAATTTCGGAAAAATAAGAGCTATCATAGATTAGACAATGACTCCAATATCAGTGTCAGTTACATTCAATAAAGAATTCCATTATAGGGTAACTAGGCTTCTGGAATAAAGTAAAAATGAATGTCCAAAAATTGTGTATGTCCTGTTGGTGTGTTATGGAAAGTTCTAATTAAAACTACAGTCTCAAAGCTTTCAAGCAATCTTGTATGGCATTATTTTTGCTTCTTTATTCATTAAATTCAAAAACATTTTGTATATTCAATGTATGAAATATTTGTATTCGCTAAATCATTTTTCGATTCGGTAAAAACGTTTATATGTTTGTTACAGCAAATTAAGTTTTCAAAATAGCCAATCACTTAATACTATGTGCATTTCATTCGCTAAATGATATGTTTTTTTTGCGTAAATTGTTATGGTATTCCTTAAGAGTAACACATTATCTGCACAATATTGAATTTCTATTTGAACCCTACCGAAATAAGTTTGCCTATATTTACCAAATGGTTTATTTTTTCTATGACATAGTTAATGCATTTACCGAAAGCTAATTTGCTATTTACCGAATGCAATAGAGTAATATTCGATAACTTTCGTTGTTGTTCGATATTTTGTCACGTGACCTCGATACTTGCAAAATGGCCGCGCAGCTATTCTACATCGTTCAAATATATCACGTGACTGGAAGTCTCGTAAAGTACCGAAAAATAACGAAATTTATCGAATGTGGCATTCGGTATTTACCGAATATAAATAATTTAAATACCGAATGTACAAATGATTATTTGAATTATACAATGGGCTGGTTTAAAGCCCATGATTATACGTGCGTTAAGGAAAACAAATTGATTCGCTGCATTACACAAGTACATGTATAAATATCAAATGTGAATGCCAACACAAAGAACAAGTAAAACTCTTTAGCGAATATAAATTGCATAGATTATTTCATTCGATAAAATAAAATAAAAAACATTCAATAGATTGGGTAAAGGTTTGGTTAATTGTTTGTTTTATTTGGTATTTATGGAATATTTAATGTACCGAATAAAGAAGCAGTTTAAACACCATAATCTTGTTGTGAAGCCTCGGAGGATTTCTAAGTATGCAAATAAACAAGCGAGCAAACAAGCAAGCTACTCAGCTACTAAGTTAAATACTTTACTACTTACAGACTTAATTACTAAGTTATTTACCTTAAAATGTTTACTTTATCAGACACCATTGGGTGTTTTGTCACCCAATTGATCTAAGTGATATTTTGATCTGAACGCCATATACAGGGTGGGCCAAAAACGCCACTTTTAAAAAAATTACTATTACCTTTTTATTACCCAACCTCTATACATCAAAATTTGCAGCTCTATTTTTTCAATTGCCATTGGTCCTGAGTAATAACATAACTTTATGTAAGACGTCCATCACCTTGGATTGTATTTGTTCTAAAAGAGGTGTCCAATGAGGTCCGCCACCCTCTTTGATGATAGCTTTTACTTTTAGTCTTGGTCGCCATACTGATGAAGCAATATCAGTGAAATGCTGGCTAAGTTTCTTCCAACGTGTCTTAACTTGCCAGCTTTAGTTGGGAAATATTTGAGATCGGGTACTTACATACCATTTCCTGGAGTCCTTCCCATACCCTATAATCACATGGGTTTGATGGTATTGGCTGTCCTGTGTGAAGCGCTATTTAAGTAACTCATTGATGCAGTATGCTTTGTTTGGTATCTTACTTGTCCCCTTGGCTACATAGCCTACACGATTGCTTACAGTTTTGATGTTCTCTTCGGCCCTCATGATTTGATTTAGGATGACCACTACCTAACTTTCGAGAAGTTTCTTTGAGTTTTGATCAATCAATTTAATGCGCATGTTTAATTTGGTTGGTATACAAATTATGATTTTGGATGATCAAAAAATAAAAAAGTAATAGTATTTTTTAAAAAGTAGCGTTTTGGCCCCCTGTATATATATATATATATATACAAGATTAGATTTTAACAAAATAATTGAACCCAAATAACTGATTTGAAAAATGAAAATGTTGACCTCTCCGAGATCACTTTATGCAAAAGTCATCGTAAGGACAGATCTCAAATGCATTTATAATTTATGGCGATCCATACCTTCTTATAGATCATACTTTGATTTAATGACGATATACTCCAATTTTTACAAAGGAACAGCTGTTTTTTCAATCCACTATACAACCGTGTACCTTCCATAGTCATTCTATCATACTTTGTCCTTATGATTTTCAGATCAGTTTCATGCCGTATTTGGCCAAATTAATAGGATGGACGCATTTTGATGTTCATAGATCTCTCCCCCTCACTTTGAATTGCATCCATTACGGCGTTACCAGAAGGGCAGTAACGGGGGATCTATTTTACATTGTGATTCTAAAAAAGGTTATTAAAACACAATATATATATTACGGAACAGTTTATCTTATCTTCTCAAATCTCTTTTATATAGGCAAAATAAAATGAAACATTTTGAAACAGATAAAATAAGTTAACGCATAGAACTTTAAGAATAAAACAGTATACATATTACGTTGTCAAAATATTTCGTCGCATTTAATTTCTTCGTCTCCGTCTTTTATCAAATCGTAAAACAACAAAACATTCTAAACTTAATCACTTGGGATTTATTTTTCGGCATTCGTTTCCGGCATTTGTTTTTTATGTTCTTCTCCTGAAATGTATTTGTCTGACAATAATCAGAGAAAGTGCGTATACGTATAAATTTGCGTTGCATATTCTGTCACGCAAACAAACGGGTGTGACTTCGATTTCTTGTCTGTCTCAGGACGTATTAGGAACGAGGTAGAATCAAAAAATTAAAAATTCTTATGAACGAGTCATGCAAGATACTAGAACTAGTAAAGTAATGTATTGGATAAGTTAATTTCTTATGGATCTGGATAAAATATGTTTCAAAACTTTGTCAACAATAGATAACTACATTTAGGCAGATATAGTATCTTCATATATTTGGCTATCCATGCGTTTAAAATACGTTCCTAAAACTATGAAGACGTTAGGTGAGAAATATTGCTATTGTACGTTCGAAAAGTATACGTATTTGGTTGTATTTTGTAGTTCTCAAGTTACCCATGAACTTTCGTAGGCTAAACATTGATTAAATAATTAACGTCTTGACTTAGCATATTTAGCCTAATTTTGCAATTATGTCAACGTGATTCCAATGTTATGTTGTCGTGATTCGCAGAGGTTGCGACAAGATTCGTTTTAAGAAATTGTATTTTTTAGATAAAGCCCGGTATACACCAATGGGGCAAAATCCCACTTGCCCCATCGAGTCCCATCTTGCCCCATCGAATCCCAATTTGCCCAATCGAGTCCCACGATGTCCCATGGGACCTTGATGACTTTGCCCCATCGTGCCCCATGGAGTTCCATCAAGCCCCATGGAGTCCCATCAAATCCCATCGTGCCCCATTGGTGTATGTTGGGCTTCACACAACACGTCATATGATCGAAAATCCCACGATGCCCCATGGAAAGAATGTACATGTTCATTCTCGATGGGACTCCATGGGACTTCGTGGGATTTTGCCCCATCTTGCCCCATCGAGTCCCACGTGGGACTTCATGGGACCTCATGGGACCTCGTGGGACTCGATGGGGCAAAATCCCACGGAGTCCCATGGCGGAGTCCCACGGACTTCATGGGGCAAAATAAGTCTATGGAGGTCCCAACTTGCCCCATTGGTGTATACCGGGCTTAAGATCCCCTAATTTTCGGAGAACTGGGTTTCGGAAAAATGGGTTTCGGAGAATTGGGTTTCGGACAACTGGGTTTCGGACAACGGGGTTGACAACAAATTCAACAATGCATATCAAAAAATCCAATATCAGAGCTGCGCAATGAGATCTTCATAGCGTTTGTGCCATCTATCGCATGATAGGATCTGTCAATCAGTTTTAGTCTAAAAAGCTTGTCTGTGCACCAGAGGCCTCATCATCCGCAAGTCGCAACGCAGATTCGCAACCGCACCGCAACGCAACGCAAGTTTTGGCGAATCGCAATCAGGATTTGTATCATCCCCTCGGCGCAACGCAACGCAACGCAATCGCAATTTGGAAGATGTTTCAATCGCAACTGACCAAAAACCTGCGATAGCTCTTACCCTGCCGCAAATCAGTCGCAAATATTACTCATCTTTAAGACAATTGTTATCCATTTCAAATGTGTCAATCTATGAGTTTCTTTATTGATTCCGTAAGTATGTTCTTTTCTCAAGGCGACTGTGTAATAAAAAGTTAGTTTATGTTTTTTGAAAGTGCTTAAATCAAAGGAATCGTTAATGGTATGAGGGGTGTTTAAAACATTCGAATTTTATAATTAAATCCAAATTCTGATCGCAAATCCAAAAAAACGAAACGCAACATTCATTCCAGCATCGCTTAAAATGGGCATACCTTTGAGGTTCTTTGCAACCGGCAACTTACAAATGACAAATTGGAATAACCCAAGCATCTGTCTGCAATTCACTGATTTAATTGATCTGCGGTCCATCCTCTCGCCCGAGTGCACACTCGTCAGTCAGTACACGCTATCATCCGAGTGCACCTTTGTCATTACATGCTCTCAACCGAGTAAAGTTTCGTCTGTACAGACTTTCATCTGAGTGCATCCTTCTCAGTACACTCTCTCACCCGTGTGACACCACGTCATACATAACCTAACCTGCGACCCGGGTGCACCCTCGGCATTAAATACTTTCACCAGACGAGTGCACCATTTTAAGTACACAGAGCACACTCGTGATAGCACACTCAAATAATGATAGTGTGTACTGCACCGAATGAGAGTGTGCACTGACTAGGCTGCACTCGGATTAGAGTATGTGATGACGAGGGTGTTCACTATCGCGAAATTCGTGTAATGACTGAGATGTTTCAGGTGAAACAGAAAGATGCTATGAGTATCAGAATGGATTATGTGTGATATCGTTGCACGTTGATATTTTTAGATTGAAATAATCACTTTCTATATTTAAAAGTAAAACTCAGCTCGAGATAAGTATTTGAATAAGGCCCGGTGAGTCTATGGGCATAAAAAAAGTTCTGTGACACGGACATTGTATTTTTACTT